ACGGACTGGTGATCCGAGGCAGGCATGAACGGATAATTGGTCTCCAGAGTAGAAATTCGGTTTCACACATGTAGACGATATAGCTCATAGCCCTTGAAATATAATGTCTAATTTTTTGTGTGGTGAACAGCAGACGGAGTGAACCCCATAGTCACAAGGACCTGCTGCTCCGTCATGGAAGTCGGTAACCTAAGCCCCGGGACTTGGAGTGGCGAACCACATAAGGCCCCGATAGGTTAGGCGTGGTATTGAACCGGATGACAGAAAAGCTGCCTACCACGAAAGTTGGGTGTCGGCGGCGGGGCTCGAACATCGGACCATAGGGCCCAAAGCACACCAGTGACAGCGACTAAACCACTGCATCACCACCACCCTATGTGATTCTTCACTGTTATATGAACAGTTTAACACACAATAAACCAAGGCTGAATTGCCTTGATCAAAGAATAAAACAACAGAAAAGTCTACAGGAGTGTCCTCTGCAGAATTCAGTCTAATTCATTACCATCATAAAACGAGTTATTCGTGTTCCACGGAAACTTTTATTTTTAATTGATTACAAAACTACATCAACGATTTTCGTTCCCATTCAACGCGGGTGCGCTCTCTCTTTCATGTCATATGCTCGTTTCCTTTCCAAACACCACTAGGAAAGTAGCCAATCATTTCCACCATGTTGGTACCACTGACCATTTTATATATCTAGCCAAGCCACGCACACTCATTCTTCTGTGAATGCTAGCGTATTTCACTGCGCACGATGACTTGTGTACAAAGAAAGAGATCAAGTCCTGAGTTGTGTGCGTATGTGTGCACAGTTCAAGTTGGCAGCAAACGGATGGATCCGGGCTGGGAGCGTTAGTTAATGGATCCTACTTTGATGCATTGTTCGAGAATGGACGTCTAATGTCATCTGCTGGACAGATCTTACTAGCTCCTCGTGACGGGTTTTTTGTCGCCCAAGCGAGACAGTACAAAGCCAATCTATATTTGGATTGACGAGCCGTTGGTAGCGGATTCGTCAAGAGGAGGAGTTGACCAGACCGGATTAGGAACCACTTATGACGGGGCGCATGATTCACTCCCAGGACTCTTTCAATTGTCTCATTGTCTAATACCACCGTGGATCGATTAGGTTTGAATCCTACCTGGTAGGCCGAATGAACTGAGTAACTTGGTAGATTTCCAAATCGACCAGAATGGTTTTGTGACAAAAAACACTCCGTTTTTCATTGATATACCGGACTGCAGTGGTCAGTCAGACAACACGTGACTGAGGTGAATGCTGATGGAACCGTCTCTCTTTGCGACTGCTTATCGGCTATTGCCTAGTCACACAACTTAATCTCCGATGGAGGTAACAACAAAAACAACAACAACAACAACACCCATCTACCTCTCGCCGCCGCCTTATATCTGCAATCTCGCGGCTCGGTTAGTGGCATTCACGGCTGCCTGCTTATTTGATGCGAATGTCATTCGATTACAATCACACTGTTCTATAGCTCACATACAGAAACCAATCAAAGAGACCGCCGGGGTGGGGGTCGAGGAGAGGATTCTAAAACTATGAATTATACGCTCAAACATGAGATTGACAACTTGAATCGATGTCCAGTCGCCGTTCACACACTCTCGCTCATGCCCTTAGAACATGTGACCAATACAAATGCCCCCCAGTCAAAAATAATGCAGCTCACATGACTATCCGCATAATCCTTCGGTCGTGAATAAGAATAAACACAAAATCGGATCGTCATTTTAAGTTCGATTATTTCTTACGTTAAAAGCAATCAATCCCCGGGTCCATTCAGATTTTCCGCTTGGCATCCAGCAATGTGCATCAAATTCGGCCCCGGTGACATATCATCCGTCGTCAAAAGCACCTAGATGATAACAATCAGTCACAGCACTGAACTGATTCGGGCATTGGCAGATTCACTGAGTGAGTAAGTGGTATGAGCACATGACAACCACAAACAACCATGAGTTTGAGTACCGTTTTGTCTCCCCCCCCTCCCACTCCCGGTCCCAAACAAAGTCCCCAAGCATTGGCCAAAAAAGTGCTCACGCACCGCAAACTGATCTGGGAGGCAATTTTATCCATCTGTGTACAGCAACATAGCAAATGGCTAAGAAAAAACAAACGGGTCGATAAAGTGAGTTGGAAGAGGCGAGTTATTTGTCTGCATGGTCGATTGGATCGATGAATACACGGGTGGACAGTTGGGTGGATGAATATGTGTGTGTGACGAATAATAATAATGGCTGACAGCCCAGTTGAAAATTGAGCTATTGAAACAATGTGCGAGTCTCGTGGAACCATGAATAAAGATGGACAGGTGAAGGGAGCGTGGAAATGGAACCATGGCAGAGACCAAGGCGAAGGGGATCTTTAACCACTGAAAACAGCAGGATACATGTTGCGAGTGGGAAGATGCAAGAGGGCGCAACAGAGAGAGAGAGAGAGAAAGATATAGAGACAGACTGGCACACTGTCACTTCAGATGAGTTTGCACTGAGCATGGTTCGGGCAATCGATTGCTTTAGCACAGAAATGAGCATCTTGGGCCAGAGAATCACTGAATCAGAATCGATATGTGTTTATCTTTTTGTGCGAATTGATGAGTGCGTTTTTTCGAAGAGAGAGAGAAAAAACGAAGGGCAATACGAGAAAAGAGTCGTAGAGAGAGAGAGATTCTCCATTCCAGTAAATGTGACTGAAATCGACGGGAGTCTACTCCACATATCGACTAAAACCCGGATCGGGAGAATGTACATACGCGAATCGAGACACTCATGTCTGACTAAACGGACAATATCGGACATTGTCAATAGGGAGGTAGAACAGCATGTGTGCAACGCATAATGCCTCAACCCGATCGCGAATGCGGAGATGAAGTGTGGTGGGGGCGGGAGAATGAATGACGACGGACAGGAATCAAACACCGGCACCAAATGGTGTCAAACAGGCTTTGAAATACTAGAATGACAGATACTGTATGAATCAAGAAACTGTTCGTTGGGACAGGAGAAGTGAGGATTGGATGAACGGGGGTGAAAGTGGTTAGCACGGATCGAGTTATCTGCAATGTGAGATTGTCGAACGTAGATACGGTCGAGGATAGAGTGCCGACCAACTAGGACGGGAAATTGACGGAAAGAAAAATAAGTTGTATTATCCCAGGTCAATCGAATTGATATGTGAATGTGTACGTGAGCTAGTGACCGGACAAGATGACGGAACGAGGGAACGTGCATTTTCACCTATTACAGTCTGCATCAAAATAACGGATTTTGAATTGAACTACTGATTACATTTAAGTAACGAAAATTAGCTGAACTTTCCAACATGGTAGCACAGGAAAGAGACAAAGCCACAGAAGACGGCCGTGCTCGCTAACTGACGAACTAGATCAATCGAAGAAAGAAAGGGGTTCAGAGAAGTCTAAACAGTTCAAAAACGAGAAAACTGATTTGAGGCATCTTGAGAAGAAGAACAGGGCGAACTAGATGTGAACACAAGTCGAACTACAGAACGCTACCATCATGCCCCACGGGATAGCGATCCAAATGAATGCGATTGTTTGTGTGGAGGTAGGTAACATGTGGAAACTGAGACAGAAATGTGGGAGGAGAAAAAAGGATGACTGTAGTCCCCAGTTCGGAACCAAGGCACAACACTTTCTTGATTAGAAGAGTATCTCGTGCCTGATACGTAGGAAATGGGAGAAAAAAAACATATATAGGCGCAAGTGAACAAAAACGGGCGCACAAACTTGCCACCAGTCAGTATTGGTTGGATGGATGAGGTGATTCACAACAACAACAACAACAAAAACCACCCATTACACAGCAACTAACGCAAGAATGAAGAAGAATCTGGGATCCATGAGGTGTTGATAGAAGTCCGGCGATCGAGAATATTGCCGGAGAGAAAGAATGAAGTAGATAACTGAGTGACAGAGGGAGAGAGAGAAAGAGCACGACGGGAGATTTGGGAAGGGAACTGGGTCAGTTGGAATGCACCAGCTGAGGAGCATCAGCGTGAGTGATTATTTTCGAAAGACGACAG